AGCTAACCCAATCTCCAGGGTTAGACAGTTTCATAGGCTTATTATATGTATCATAGTATACATATTTTTAAAATTGTTATTGGCATGAAAGATATGCATTGTATAATGCCCAAGCCTATAAAGCAGTTGTAATTGGTTTTTGATTTAGCAAGTATAGTTATCCCTTAGTGTCTGTACATTGTAAGCCCCTTACATAAGATGGTATAGTAGTTGACTATAGTCTATTTATATCTTTCTTGCCCTCTTTAAATCATCTCCAGATTAGTTATAATAAAATGCCTATACATCACTTACCTGCATAAATTCATCATACTACTTGATGTATGGGAAATTCAAGTTTTTCTCTTTGGAACTTTATGGAATTTTTTTTTCCTGAACATTTTCCACCCATGGTTGGTTGAATTTATGGGTGTGAAATGCATGGATACAGAAGGCCAACTATTTATCACACCAAGTCCTAGCAAGAAACGAGTGGCAAAGCAAATTAATAAGAAATGATTAACAGCCCAGGGAAAAGCAAAAGTGGATATCTTTCTCACACTGCAGGAGGCTGATTAATGATCTCCCCAAGATGGCTGTACTCTAAACTCTAGATTAACTTGTGAAAATCCTACCTTATATGGCAAAAGGGACCATAGATATGATATATGTCATATATATGATATATATGAGAAAGAATCTTGATATCAGGGAATGATAGATCCTAGATTATCTGAGTGGGTCTAGCATTAGTACAGGGCTCCTTATAACAGGGAAACAGTTGGGTAGAAGTCAGAGAGAAAATATAAAGTACCAGAAACAGGTTAGATAGTGAAATGATGAGCCTGGAATGAGAAGGAAGGGCCTGTGTGCCAAGGAATGTTGGTGGTCTCTAGAAACTGGAAAAAGCAAGGAAGGGCTTCTCTTTTAGAGACTCCCACTAAACAAAATGAACCAAAACACACAAAAAAGCCCTACAGACACATTTCAGACTTCTGACCTACAGAGCTACAAGATAGTATATTTACAAATTAGTTTTAACCCACTAATTTTTTGATAACTTGTTGCAGCTACAATAAGAGACAAAAACATATCTCTTGGCCCAAAGGGAGAAAGAGAGGGAAGGTGTTACCAGAGTCTAGAAAGAGCTGCAGCTGTGGAGGAAGAAGAGCCTGATGTGAGTTGTGGCTACAAGTGAGCCCTGTCTATGAATGGGATCAGTATGGGAGAGGATCAAAACCTTGGTTTCTCTCTCCTCTGTCTTCTAGCCCACTCCAGTGTCCTTTCCTGGCTGGTGTCAGCCAGCCCTAGTGCAGGAGAGTGGTCTGACACAGGCAATGGGAATCAGTCTCCTCTATATAGAAAGGAGAAGAGAGGGACAGAGAAGAGAATGATGTGTTGAAGAGAGAAGAACTGAGCAAATGGAGAATAAAAAGAAAAAACTTATTATTGAATTATGTAACTATAATAATCCTTACTTAGGCAACATTTTATTCAGAAAAAGGTTGTGTCACAATAAATCTTAGTACTCTTAGAGTTTAGGCAATCAGTATTTTCTGTCATTTTTCTTTTACAGGCAGAAATTACTATTGCATCATGAATAAAACAAACAAACAAATACATGCATATATAGCCCATTACTGAATAATCCTCATGGATGACCACATTGTTATTTGTAGAGCAGCAAACTCATCACATATTCTGTCATTTGGAGACATTCCACAGGTTTTAGTTGTCACAGAATTCTAAGTGTGGCCATAATGCTAATAATATTATGGCTATCCTAAAAAGTAGATGCTCTGATTACGATTTCCTATCAGATATGTTAAATATGAAGATAAGGGATCATCTATGAAAACATTTAACAAAAACATTTCTCCAAAGAAACATAATTCCCAAATGCAATATACTATGGGAATAATGACAACCAATGTCTCATTCAGACTTTGGAAAAGGAGTTAAGAGAATATTAACCATTTCAAAAAGATCAAACAAAACGGTGAAGGTGATACACTTTGTTAGTGTTTCCCAGACTTGGATGTGCATAAGCCCCACCTGAGGATCTAGGAAGATGATACTGTGATTCAGAAGTTTTGAGTGGGAATGAAGAGTTTAGTTTTTTTTTTGTTTTTTTTGTTTTGTTTTGTTTTGTTTTGAGACAGGGTTTCCCTGTAGCTGCAGCTGGCTTGGAACTCGCTATGTGGACCAGGCTGGCCTTGAACTCACAGAGATCTGCCTGCCTCTGCCTCCCGAGTGCTGGGATTAATGACGTGTGCCACCATGCTGGGCACAAGACTAACAGTTTTTTATACCACCAAATTTAGGCTACCAAATATCTACTTGATCTTTTCTGAAAGAAGAAGATGTTGGTTACTTTCACGTAACTGTCACTGTGACTGGTGCCTGCCTCTGCCTCCCGAGTGCTGGGATTAAAGACGTGTGCCACCATGCTGGGCACAAGACTAACAGTTTTTTTATACCACCAAATTTAGGCTAGCAAATATCTACTTGATCTTTTCTGAAAGAAGAGGATGTTGGTTACTTTCACGTAACTGTCACTGTGACTGAGCTACATATCAGGATATATGGCTAAATAGTCTTTCTGGGTGGATCTAGGAGTGTATAACTGGAAGAGATGAACATAGGAATCGGGAAATGTTTGTAAAGCAGATGCCCCAAAGTAGGTGCACACCATCCAGTCCATTGAGGGCTCGAACAGACCAAAAAGATGGAGGAAAGGCAAATTAACTTTTCTTGACCACTTTAGCTGAGCAACAGCATTCTCTTGTCCTCAGTAATGCTAGTTCCTAGACTTTCAGATTGGAATCTATAGGTTTTTCTGGATCTTAGGCCTTGGAGCACTTGCTGTCAGAATCATAAAATGTTTGTTTATTCTTTACTACAAAGGTAGCACATATCTTTTAAAAATATTTTGTTATTTTTATTTTATGAGTATGAGTGTACTGCCAGCATGTATGTAAGTGTACCAATGTTATATACAATGCCCAAGGAGGTCAGAAGAGGGCATTGGATCCCCTGGAACTTGAGTTACAGAAGGTTGTTATCTGTCATGTGGGAACCAGACCCAGGTCCTCTGCCTGAGCAGCCAGTGCTTTTAACCACTGAGCCATCTCTCCAGTCCCATACCACATATTTTATATAGTCAAACAATACAATAAGAAGATAGAAGATCAAAAGCTTGTACTTGAGGAAATATACAGTGTTTGAAATGGTAACTTACACGTGATCTTTTTTTATGGCTTTCAGTGTAGACTGACATTTGAATACAGAGTTTTAAAAACTCTATCCTGTTGGCAAAAATGGGATGTGTCCATTGGAGAGCTTCCATTACATAATGTAGAAGCTGTCTTGAGGAGGCACTGATGGCTGAAATGCAAGCTGAGCAGAAGACAGGCAAACTTTGCTTTTCTGGAAAATGAACAAAATGAGCTTGTCAATTTAAGGAACACAACTGAAGACATTTGTTGCTCATAATACAACTCAAACTTTCAAGAGGAAAAAAAAATCAGAATTTTGGTAAACTTCTGCTACTACTGTCTAGCTTCCCAAACACGAAAGATTTTCATGATTAAATAGTGATGCAGCCTTTTGATATTGTGACAGGTGATGAGTCAACATTTCAAAGCTCTGTGGATTCTGTGAAATTAATACCGTTCAAATGGCTATGCCTGGTGTTCAAAATTGTCCCTGGACAAGAGATCCATTAAAACAATAAGAAGGAACAATGTGTATTGCAGCAGAGTGGGAAAGCATCACTAATAACTCAGAGATGGCCACCAGTCATGTGTGTTGCTATGGAAGTGCTCATGAGACAACTAGCCAGAAAGAGAGCATGAAACAGAGATGATACTTAAAATGGTGGAAACATCCTAAGTTCTATATGTGTTAAAAGTGGCCAGCACCTCTCCTCTCCCGTTGATGATGTATCAGAATTTGTAAGTATGCTAATATTTTCATTGTCTCATCAAATGAATTCTGAACAGGGACACTAAAAAATCCTTAGGTTTTCTTTTTTAAAAGATTTACAAAAAACATTATTTTGTGTGTGTGTATGTGTGTGTGTGTGTGTGTGTGTCCGCGCGTGAGCGCGCATGCACGTGTGAGTGTGTACCCATGCGCACCCAGGGTAGAGAACAGCTTGCAGGAGTAGGTTCTCTATTCCACAATGTAGGTTCTGGGAGTCAAACTCAGGTCCTCATGCTTTGCAAGTAAGAGCTTTTACCTGAGGAGCGATCTCTTTGGTCCCCAAACCTTGCTTAGTTAAACAGTGAAACTTTATCATCAGTTTTCTGTAACAGCTCTATCCCGACTTTTGAGTGAACCCTCCTGGTGTGGCTGTGCATTCCTTTATCTTGCATGTTTCTGAGCAGTTCTCCTTCCCTTGCTTCCCTTTCCTCTTTCCCTGCCTCCTTCCTCCTTCACTTTTAGGAGTCTATAGGTTCCCAGCGGCATCATTCAAAACATGCTTCACTTAAAGACACTTTGAAGATGCAGAAAGGATTTGGGAAGAGTCTGGAATTTTTCCAAGTCTTCTCAAATACCCTGGGAAGCTATATTTGGAACCATGGCAGAGGCCAAATTTTAAAATCTTTGAGGATGCTCCTAGCTGAAGTTTTTAGAGTGGTGGACAGGAAGGGACCTCGGGACTCACTAAAGCGAACTTTCTGAATCTTATGGAGGAAACTGAGGCCCAGAGACGCAAACTGCTAGGAGGAAGGTCTGTGACGGCAACCCTTGTCCTTTACCTAGCAGTTAGTTCATCTTGGAGCCCTGAAAGGCCACTGAGGATGGGCAAGCTGAGGAAGTCAGGAACCACTGGACCCACCCACAGCCTTCTTCTCAGAGGGCCCAGATGGGGAGGGAGGAAGCCCTTTGGTGAGAATGAGGAAGAGAGGGAGGGCAAAAGGAAGGAAGGAGGGCAGAGGAGGGAGTGGAAGAGGCAGCCTCCCCGGGGCTGATTGGCTCCGGAGGCCAACCCTCTCCATGTGGTTTATAAGAGTTGGGGCTGCCCGGGGCACCCTGCTCTGTCACCCGCGCTCCCTGGAGCCCCTGCCAGCATCTTGGTGAGCGCTCCACGTCGAGGTCCCGCCGGGCCGGTTGCCTGCTCTGCGGCGGGCAGCCGAGGAAGGGAGAGAGCCGTCCCCACCGCGGAGGGGAGCGCCCGGGCTTGCGGGCGCCACGCCATGCGCCGGGCCAGCCGAGACTACGGCAAATACCTGCGAGGCTCGGAGGAGATGGGCGGCGGCCCTAGCGCCCCGCACGAGGGCCAGCTGCACGCTGCACCATCCGCGCCCACCTCGCCGCCGCCCCCCACGGCCTCCCGCTCCATGTTCGTGGCCCTGTTGGGACTGGGGCTCGGCCAGGTGGTCTGCAGCGTTGCTCTGTTCCTATACTTCCGAGCGCAGGTGAGTGGCTGCCTTCCTGGCCTCGTTCTCTGCCAGGGAAACTAGGTCTGACCCTTGGGCTTGGCTCCCCAGATCTGCCTATTTAGGGGGAGAAAGCGACTCTCTAAGAAAGCAACTTGGGGAGGCCCTAGGATCACTCACCTGTGCCTTTCCTCCGCAGCGCTCAGAGGCTAAACTAGGATGGGTTTGAATTTCCCCCCAGAAACAGCATTGGCCGCTCACCTCCTTCGCAAGTAATTTCATACTTTCTGCACGTCTTACATTTCTCACTTGGGGTTAAGAACCAACTTTACTCCACTTAGGAAAAAAAAGGCGCTTTTTTTCGTAGCATCTGTCTTTCCAATCCCACCTTACTAACTCCTGACTGGCTGGCTTTTCTGGGATGCTGGAGCCACAGTGCGGGAGAGGTGCGCGGTGTCCAAAGGCGGCTGAGTCCCCGGGAGTGACGCACAGTCTACAGATAGGCAGAGAGACCAAATAAGCCAAGTCTTGAGGTTCTGCTGCTGTTGCTCCTCGGGGGCTCAGCCCCTGAGGGGTGAGGAAAGAGGGACAGTTCCACTGTGGCTGCCAGTAAGGTGGGTGCGAGAGAGGGGGGTGGGGAGAAGGAGAAGTTGTGTGTGTGTGTGTGTGTGTGTGTGTGTGTGTGTGTTATGGCACAGCCTTTCTACAATCTAGTTTGTAACCAACCTTTGAAGAGAGGAGGAAACTCTGCACCAAACTCTCAGAACTGTGGAGCGGCAGTAGAGAGGAAGGGGTAAAATTGTAATATTATGCTTTCTGGTGGTTTATGTTCTTGTGTTTTCTTGGAAATTGCAGTGCAGTTGGTTGGATTCATTCAAATACTCTTGTCTGGTGCTATGAACTCGTTCTCAGAGGAAGTGGAGGGCTGACTGTGCATTTTTTTTTATGGGAAAAGAAAGTTGGGTTTGGACTTCATTGGTTTCCAGATTCAAAGGTGATTACTAAACCAGATTGGATGCATTAAAATGTGCCATTGCTTGGATTCTATGGGTTTTGACGTGTGCCAACGTCTTGGGCTCTCCTTTCAATCATAGACTTTTGCTAAGCAGTCAGATCTGCTAGTTTGCATTTTATACCACTCATGTGGTTACCAACTAACACAAAAATAGAAAGGTCACGACCAACTTCTGGAAATCTGTATTTGTGTGTTAATAAACATAATCTTTAACCTGTTAGGATATTTCTCTATAGGACAGTTTTCGAGTGGTTTCCTTGCAATATGACTTACACAAATCCTCACACAAGTGAGTAAACATTTTTTCTTTCATTGGAGCACAAGGCAGTCAACAAAGAATGATTTATCTTAAAAAAAATTTTTTTTTGCCATCTAGCATTTTTGATGCTTGTGTGTTGAGAACCTGCATGGTGCATGACTCTATTAAATGCTATGGAATTTGCCCTAAGAATTGCATACTGAATATTGCAGTCTCTACCTCTGTGGTGGCAAGTGACAGCCTATGCTCCCAACAAAAACAATTGTAATTCTCTGTCCCTCACTGAAAGCAGCAATGGCCTGAAGATGCAGTAGAGGTCTACTTCTTATCTTTCTAACATTGTTGGGACATGGCATTTCCTTAGCAGTAATGATGAAGTGAGTGCTGGGCATGGAAAGAAGGAGTGAAGAAATTCTAGAGACCCTGGCAGCATAGCTTGCTAGGAACAGTGAGAACTGGCATGACTACGGAGGAAGGCGTGACCAGCTGGGCTCTTCATAAGACTGTTCAGCTTTCCTGAAGGCATTCTATGGTGGGGGAGCCTGAGAAGTCTGTTCTAATGGTCACCTACCAACACACAACAGTCTTGATGGCACACTAATAGTAATGAAACCCCATTTCCCCAAAGTAAACATGTGATATGAAAGACTGGTCAGAAGTTTTCATTTGGAGAATTTAATTCCTGGGTTCAATCTTCTCCTTTCTTCCCTTTCCTTTTTCTCCCTTTCTCCCTTTTTCCTTTCTTAATTCCTTCCTTTCTTCCTTTACTCCTTTTTTTTTTTTTTGTGGCAGGAGCTCATGTAGCCCAGGCAGACCTCAAACTTGTGTGTAACCAAGGATACCTCCACTTCCCAAGTGCTAGGATTATAGGCATGCTCCATTATACCTGGAGGTTTTATGCAGTACTAAGGGCTTGAACCCACAGCTTTGTGCATTCTACCAGCTGAACTACATCTCTAGCTCCCAACTGCCACAGAGACTGAGCCTCCCCTAAGACATATTTAACATATTTTACTCATTATTCTGAACCAAATTCTGTAACTGCATTTTGAAAAGGCTGTCTTCTTTAGTAGAGCTGGAGTAGTGGGAATAGTGAGTTGGTCTGAGGATGCCACTAGATCTTACTGCATTTCACTGAGTATGATTTCTACATTTGATACCTAAGGGGATCCTAATCACTTAGAGATACATTCTGAACCCCTTACAAATGAAATGCTATAATGTCTGGAATTTGTTTCAAAGTAATTGATGAGTAGAAATGGGTGTAAGGGGATAAAGGTGTGATAGCTTATATAGGAGATGCAATCATTGGTCATGCATAGATAAGTATTGAACCTGAGTTCTGGGATGGAAGTTCAAGCTACAATTCTTTCACTTTTATGTATTTTGAAAACCTTTCATAGTTCTAGATATTGGTGCCAAATTATAGATTTTTGAAAGTTTAGATGGAGTACTTGGTATTTCTGACTATATTTCAATGAGAATGAAGCCATCTACTATCAGAGAACATGCTTAAAGTTTTAAAAAAATGATAAAAGGAGCCAGGTTTAGTATAATTTAAGGGTAGGGGACAGAATGCAAATTCTCAGAGGCCAGAGGATTGGAAGATCAAGGCCAGCCTGGGTTATATAATGAGATCTTGTCTCAAAATCAAAACCAAAATTAAAAACAAATTAAAAACCTACTCATGTTTGAATATTTAGCAATGAAACAGTTTCCTGGGCATTTCAGATTGCCTGTGTCAAATATATATATATATTATATATGAACTAGATCCAGGATCCAGTGTGGATTAGCTTTCTCTTTCCAGCCCTGCCAAAGGGGGAAAATGGCATGTGGCTTGTGCTATATATTTACCACATAGTATTCATACTTTGGTTTTCAAAGGAAAAAAGCCCTCCTAAAATGTTACTTGTAAAGTTTTGTGTGTGTGTGTGTGTGTGTGTGTGTGTGTGTGTGTGCAGCACCGTACTCAAATTTACAGCGTAGCTATAAGAGGTGCTTTTCAGAAAGCTGGCTCTCCTTTGTCTTAAACTTCTTCCCTCCCTTTCCCAATGCTGCACCATGCCAGCCTCCCTGGCTGCTTTTTACCCAGCACAGCAGTCACTACTGCAAATCTGATGCCAAGTGTGCAGGCAGCCTTTTTGAAAAACTGATAAGGAAGCAGCACAGATGCTGAGCATCCTGCCTCATTTAACCCTACAATGATTCCGTCTCAAAGAGGTTTACCAAAAAAAAGTTGATTTCATAGTCACAACATCATCTGATAGGTGCATTTGAAAAGTCCACTGTGTGTTTTTAGGGTGTATATAATGCTGGGGTAGAACCCAGGGCCTCAAGTATGGTAGACAAGTGCTTGCTTGCCCAGCTCTAAACATCCACTTTAAATCAGATACTCAAGATTTAGTGTTTTCAGGTATGTGTGGAGGTACAATGAATTCAATTGTAACTCAGCTTCTTGTGATATTTTGTGAGATCTCTGCTCCCCAGTTGATGTAACTTCCATGAAGAAAGGGGCTGCTTGTTTGTTTATTGTTTCTCCCCTCAGCATCTAACATAATACCTGACATGTGTAATTGACTGAAAAGTCCTTTCAAATGATTTACAACCTACATGTATGTCCATTTCTAACTTACTATTTTGCAGATTAGACATTTAGTAGCTAAAATGGTACAGATTTTCGACCACACTGTGCGAAAAAATATGATGTTGGATGGGAGCTATGTTCCTTTGGTCAGGCAGTGATCTTTCCGTGGGTCTCCTGCATGCACCAATCCTACTCTCTGAGTTGAAATTCCTTCCACAGACAGGCCCTCATTTACCTTATGTGTTTACCCTTGTAGTTCCCAAACCTCTGTTCCCTTCTTTTGCTTGGGCACCTTAGTGAGAAAAGACATTTGATTATAGATTGAAAATAGATTTGTAACTTGTGATTCTCAAGTAAACAACTTGAGTAGATATTTCAAACTGGATTTTGACCCAATCATGATTCCTTTCATCAAAAGAACTGATGAAGTTTTCAGCATGCTGGAGTTCTGAGTGGTGGATTGCATGGCTGAAGAGCTTGAGGAAAGATTCAACAATTGGTCCCCACATTTGGGATGCTGGTAATATTAGCTGAAGGACACGGTCATGGGGGTGAAAGCTGGTCACCAGCACTTTTTTAAAAAGAGAGAACGGAGCCAGTTTGGAAATGTGTGCATTACTAAAAGTTCAGGTAAAAGCCGGGTATGGTGGCACACACCTTTAGTCCCAGGACTGGGAAGTGGATCTCTGTGAGTTTGAGGCCAGCTCAGTCTCAATAGCAAGTTCCAGGGCAGCTGGGGCTACAGGGAGACCCTGTTTCAAAAAGCCCCCCCCAAAAAAAAAAAAAAGAACGGAAGATCTTTGCATTCTACTTATTTATTTGTGCTAAACAATCAACTGTTATTAACTAGTACAGTATTTATTTATTATTTTTTTTTACTAATTAGCAATACTTGTGACCACATTTAAAAATTGGTGGCTAGGGAAATTCAGAGTCATTTTAATAGCAGAATAGCGATGCGTATTTGTGTATTTGACATTTTGAAATATTTCTTCTCAAGGTTCACTATGGAGGAGATAGCCCTGGATCTAAATGCAGCTTCCCTGGCACTGTGCCAGGGTGGACCCTACAGTCGGTATTTTTTGCAGCTCCCTCTGAGCCCATGGTGATACATAGGTACACCTTGAGTATTGACAGTGTTTTGACCCTGCTGCTCCTGTTAGGTGCCCTCTAGTTTGTCAACAGGATGCAAGTCTAACCAACTTTATTCAGGATCCCCAGGCATTTCCTAGAGTCACGTTGTCCCTTCAACTCATCACTTCTCTGGTCTGTTGCGTTCCTGGAGTCTGAACCCAGCAGCATTTCATATCAAGTACTCAGTCTTTTCTGGCTTTGTGGGATGCTTATCATCTTAAATGAGCCCTTTCAAAAAGTATGATTGATAGCTGTCCTTCTAAAGAAAATATGTGTAGTAAATATGCATTGCTTCATGGTAGGACCTCCCTCATGTTTACAGGTCATCCTTAGAATAGTTTTAGATTAAAAAATTTGGGGATTTATTTTTATTTTATATGTAAGGACATTTTGCTTGCATGTATGTAAATGTGCCACATGCATGCAAACCCAGGGGAGCCAGAAGAGGGTGTCAGGCCCCTGAAACTGGAGTTACAGATGGTAGTGCACTGCCGTGTGGATGCTAGGAACTGAACCTGGGTCCTCTGCAAGAACAGCCAGTGCTCTTAACCACTGGGCCATCTCTCCAAGTCTACACAATTTTTAGATTTGTTTTTATTTGTGTGTGTGTGTGTGTGTGTGTGTGTGTGTATGTATCTATGTATTTGCCATGTGTGTGTTTGTCCACTTTAGAGGGATAGAAGATAGTATCAAATCCCTTGGAACTAGAGTTCCAGGCAGTTGTGAGCTACCTGACTTGGGTTCTGGGAACCAAACTTGGGTCCTCTCAAAGAGTAGCAAGTGCTCTTAACTGCTGAGCCATCAGATTAGAATAATCAGAATTGAATCTGTGGGTGCACATTTGTTTAAAAGCCTATCTTTCTTTAAAAGAGTTTCAGATATGGTTAGAGTTCTTTTCAGTTTATTTCTGAGGATTGGGTGATAAAGAGGCACATCATTTTGATTACTTAAAAAGTTGAACTAAATTGGGGCGGGGGGACTTAGTAGTAATTCTGACCAGACTCTAATTATTACAAACTTACATAGTTTTTCCTTTCCTTTTTGTTTAGTTTTTATTTACCGATAGGCAAATGCTCATGAAATACTTTGAATATCTGAAGAAAAAGGACAAGTTAAATTGCTATAAAACAATTGGTAGCTAATCAAATTCCCCTTTATATAGCAGTTGAAACCACTGCAAAGCCTTGTGGGAGCTGTAGGAGACAAGTTTATAGAAGCCCTTATAGAAATGCTCAACTGGACACTATTTTTAACCTGGTGTTCAGCTAATAACTCCATGGAGATATTTTGGATGAGACAATTCCTTACATTTTAGCATTTCCTAGCATTTATCACATGGCCTGCTCATGCATCCCTCTCCACCCGTACACATTTGCAAAGATCCTCAAGAATTATAGGCTCCAGGTTGAGAGGTACTGATGAGATGTTCAACTGAAAGAAATTACACTTCTGGTTCAGGCTTTGTATGAAATAGATTTCTCTCTCTCTCTCTCTCTCTCTCTCTCTCTTCATTTAATTCTCTTAATTAAAATGTTCACTGAGTAAAAAAAAAGACCAAATGGAAATGGTGGCTAAAGATTGGGTTAATTTTGCCTAATTTATGTAGACTTACGCTTTGAATCTCCAAGTGGGCTTCATCTCCATGTGGTTTTATGTCGTCTGCTGTATGGGTATTGTTGATGTTGCAGTTTATGAGAGAGGCTTTTACACTGTAGCCCAGGCTGGCCTCAAATTCATGCCAGTCCTGCTGTAGCCTGTCAAGTGCTCAGACTACAGATATGAGGCACCCATCTGGGTTGTTTATGTGTATTGCTACCTCCTTAGAGCTCATGTGATTTCCCATCTATGAGCAATTTTATGTTGTCAGAAAATTTTGAGAAGCTCCCTGTGAATCACATACATACACTTCAGTTGTTAAGAATTCAGTTGTTAAGTTGTGGGTAATTGTTAGCTACTTACCAAAATGAATTAGAAATCAGTATTTTCAGGGTAAGTTGCTAGCTCAGTGGATAAAGTACTTGCTGCACAAATCTCTGCGCTGGGAGGCAGAGATGGATCCTGGGCCAGTTGAGCCAATACATGAGCTTCAGTTTCAATGACAGACTCTGTCTAAAAAAAAATAAGGTGGGGTATAATAGAGGAAGGCACTGAACATCAACCTCTAGCTTCCACATGTGTATGATAGGTATGCACACCCACATGTACACACATACACATACCAAAAAGAAAGTCAATGCTATAATTAACGTGAAGATAGTTTAATTAATAATTAATCACTGAGGACATACAAACTTCTCTAAGCATGATCCTCTTATTCTCATCATACTTCATTGAAATAACAATAATTAGCAGTCACCACTTTAATATCCTTTTCCCCTCTCAGATGGATCCTAATAGACTATCAGAAGACAGCACTCACTGCATTTATAGAATTTTGAGACTCCATGAAAATACAGACTTGCAAGACACAGCTGTGGAGAATGAAGATACAAACGTAATTCCTGATTCCTGTAGGAGGATGAAAAAGGCTTTTCAAGGAGCTGTGCAAGAGGTAAGTCCACGTTGAAGTTGCTAAGTCAAGAGTTGTTGCAGACTCTGCGGTTACTGAATATTAAAACTTGGTAAGTGTCATTGACTCTGTTCTTTTGTTTTAATACATTGTAAAAGAGCTGATGAGAATTCCTTAAAGAGAATTAAAAAATTCTCTTAAAACATTTTTGTCATTTCTAAATTTATGTGTATGAATGTATTGCCTGTCTGTATATAAGTGCACCCGTGTTGTGCAATGCCCACAGAGGTCAGAAGAGGTCGTTGAATTCCCCTGGAACTGAAGATAAGACAGCGTGTTAGCCACAATATGGGTGCTAGGAATTGAACCTGGGTCCTCTGCAAGAGCAGCCAGTGCTCTTAACTGCTAAGTCATCTCTCCAGCCCCAAGAGAATTATTTTGAAGCAGAATTATTCTGAAGTTGGTTTGACATACAGAGACCTTCATGCAAATTTTCTTTCCTTCCTTTCTAAGAGGAGAGATTTAAATTCTTTCTTGGAAGGAGGACCAAGGTAGCTATGATTAATAGATGGGTCAGTCTCTTAGTTTGAATTTCATGATCTAGAAACCATGCTCTAGGGCCCCAGGATGGTCCTTTCATTTGCTTCTGTAAGGACTCCCTTTTCCACACTTGAGGCCCAGGACTCTGATGAGAAGCAGTGTAACTGGTCCTTCCTTGTCAGGAGTGGTGAGGAGGCAAGCGTGCAGAGCAGGAAATGAGGTGGTGGGTGAGGTGGAAATTGTGTCTGTGTTCTCATTCTCTGGGAGAGATGAGGAAGAGAAGACTGGTGACTACTCAGACCAGCAGCTTTAGCTGTGAAACATCATACCTGCCTGTTAGATGCTCTCAATAAAGCCATCTGGGAATCAATGTAACTACTGAGGCCACTCCAAACTGCATAGGATCCCACCTGTGTGCACTGCCCATCTGCCTTTGTGTCTTCATGTGTGCTCCTGTCCACTTCCACATTCCAGCTTCACTTTGCAACTTCTTGGGTGGTCTCACCATCATAGAGTAAACCCTGAAGTCCTCAGAACCCTTGAATCTTAGATCTGCTAAGATTTACTAATGAAATAGTATATGTAATTCTTGTTTATTACTTCAGAGGAATAGCATGGCTTTAAAGGTGTGTCAGAAGTAGACATAACTACAAAACTAGTAATGGTAAATGTAATACCCATAAGATAGGATTTCCTGCATTTTATCATTTTATTAAATTTAAGACCACTGGTTTTCAATCTACTTTGTTAGATTTTACATCACTAAGAAATAAAATATTCCGACTAAATAAACATGAGGCTGAACATTGTGGCACATGTCTTTTTTTGTTTTTCTTTAATATTTTTATTGGTTTTTTTGCATTTCATAAAATAGCTCTTAATCAAATTTAGACCCCATCCCCCATCTATCTGCCCCCACAACTCCCCCACCTCCCCACGGACCTCATGCATTCTGTCATATTCAGTCCTATCCGGTCAAACATTTGTATCCAGATGTCCTTCGGTGCAAGTTCATCCACTGGAGTCTAGTCAACCTATCTAGAGATCTTAAAAGAGATCTACTCTCCCTCACCTGATAGTCAGTTGACAACATTTCCCAGGTAATGACAGGGCCCGCCATGGTGGCACATGTCTTTAATCCCAGTACTTAGGAGGCAAAGGCAGGTGGATATCTGTGAGTTTGAGGCCAGCCAAGATTCTACTTGCATCTTAATTTCAGAGATGATACACTAAAAATGTGTAGTATAGAGTCAGTAAAGTACATATTAAAGTAATATGTATGAGAAAGCACATTGCTCATGATAATTATTTTCTCCCTGTGCAAATATATGTGTATAAATTTAGTACAGTATAAAATTACTTTAAATAAGTGAACACAGTTTGGATTAGAAAAAATGGGATTGTAATAATTTGTTTACTGTTACTTTTTTAAAAAGTTATGACTTTTCTTGGGCTGGGAATTTGGCTTAGTGGTAGAATGCATGGTTAGTATGGATGAGTCTCTGAATTCAATCTACACTACTTCTGCCTCCCAAAGTAATAGCCTTCTATCATGCCCTAAGGAAAAACAATCTCACAAGGGAGACCTCCAGCACTGTGTTGCTTCGGTGAATTTTTCTTCTACTTCCTATCCCCGCAGTACTTTTTTGTTCATGGTCCCATTTCCTTGGTATTTGTTGGATCATTGCTTAGAGAACATGAACAATCAATTGTACTTAAAGCTGCTGCTGAACAATGACAGAATTTTAACCATTTAGGAGTTTTGGGGAGACACAGGTCTTCCAGCCTAATGAATAGCGCTAATTATGTGAGATTCAGCACCTGATGAACTAGAAAGATAAGACTCTGGCCAGCAACAAGAGGAATTACCACTTTTATCAAAGGCACATAGTCAGCCCTTATGGTTCATGTCTGCAATCTCAGACTGATGCAGGGAGGTTGTCAATTTGAGGTCAGAAGATACTGCTGAGAGAGAGAGAGAGAGAGAGAGAGAGAGAGAGAGAGAGAGAGAGAGAGAGAATATAGTATTATACCAATAGATTTTAGTTATGAAGAGGAATCAAACTTTTTATTAACTTCACATTTGTTATACTGTAGGATTTTTACTTTTTTTAAAAAGAGTAATAATTTATACAGTCCTTTTAAAAGATTAATGAGCTTTTATAATAAGCCACTGTATATGGGTATAATATACAAATTACTGTAATATGCTAATGTGTGCTAGAAGTGGAAGATTCCAGTTCTTCCCTTTAGGCCTGATCCTTAAGAATAAAATGAGTGGCTGGGCGTGGTGGCCCATGCCTTTAATCCCAGCACTTGGGAGGCAGAGGCAGGCAGATTTCTGTGAGTTCAAGGCCAACCTGGTCTACATAGCAAGTTCCAGGCCAGCTGGGGCTACAGGGAGACCCCGTCTCAAAAAGAACAAAAACAAAAACAAACAAACAAAAAGAATAAAATGGATACTATCCAAATCTTAACCATTTCAATGAACCAGCATCCACATACTGTGACTATGGACCTACACACTTTGCCATATACCCAAGACTCTTATCCCAATAAAATGAATAATTTGCCAAAGGTGTTACCCTTTGATGAAGATTATTAGTTAATATGACATTCTGTGTAATTTGCCAGGGAATCAGGTTATTAATTTGTCTTGCCAGTGCCCAAAATAAGATGGATATATTAGGCATTCTAGAAGTAGATTTATATCTTGGTTTTAGTTCTAACAGATACTGAGCGAACCCATAAAATAAAATTAGACATGTGGCTGTAATCCTTATTGAGAGATCAGCCCATGCAGTGGTAACACATACCAGACATGAGTGCAATATCACATTATATGTGTGCAAAAAGTGGTGTTTACCCAGCTCGTTGTGGTCAGACAAGTAATGCTGTTTTCCCCTCCTTTTTTTTTGTTTGTGGCTGGGTTTTCTTGGGCTTCTTTTCCCTTTAGCATAGAACTCTGAAAGCGTCTTTCTGAGCCAACTTCACTAACCACAATTTATAAAGTCTATCATAATAGTCTATGACAATAAAGAAAACACTAGTACAAATACAGTGTCTGATTTGTAAAGTGATTCCTGTGTTCTATTTTGGCAATCTCCCTGGGCTCTGCCAGCCAGCTGGGGCTGGGGAGAGTGGTGAGCTCAGGCCTTAACCATGGCTGCCCTGCGTGGCAGGGAGGACACTGGCCTTCAGACCTCCTGGGTGGACTCAGTGAACGGATATCTGTGTTGCATCAAGTAAACATTCTGAGCCCTTAGGGCTATGACTCCACTTGAGTTTAGTGTGCCAGGTTACTGATTTCACACTGAGACCTTGCAGAAAAACTCTGGAATTTGTAATGGTATTTAGATGTGTGCTAACAAGGAGAGATCACATAGGAGTAACTTGTTCTCTGAAAGTTGCCCCATGCATTCAAGACAGTACCCTGGGAGGCAGGAAAGAAGCAGGAGGGCTTATCTGTGTGTTTTTTTGTTTTTTTTTTGTATTTGTTTTTTAAAGAATATTTTTATTATTCCAAAGAGAGACAATTTTTAACAATTTTTCCAGAAATAACTCGAAGCAGGCTTAAAAAATATATATACAATGAAGTTTAAGGGTGGAAAAGTAGGGATAAGAAATTAAAAAAAAGCTGAGCACGGTGACACACGTCCTCAATCCCAGCACTTGGGAGGCAGGGCCTGGCAGATCTCTGTGAGCTCGAGGCCAGCCTGGTCTTGGTGGAATAATGAAGGTTTCCATTTTTTTTTTTTTTTTTTTTTTTTTTAATTCTAACTAGTTTATTGGGCTTGCTAACAGAGCATAGTGTGGGGGTTTCTTTACAGAAGAATGGGTGTCCCCCATTTACAGCTGTACTGAAAAGTCCAGACTCAAGTATAGATCCTGTGACTTCCTGACGGCCACACGAAATGGTGAGAGAGGTACCTCCTGGTGTTCTTGGCTTATATATCCTTAGTCCCTCTCCCACATGCAGTTAAGGTTGACTGATTGGCTGGGAGGGATAACTGACTCCCCCCTGGACTCCTCGATGAGTGTGGGAAAGAGGTGTGGCTATAGCTTGCTGGCATAGTAGTTGGAGGACACCTTGAGTTAACACTTCACCCTTCCTCTGGCTCTTATATTCTCTCTCTCTATTTTTTTTTATATTAGCTTTTGGGAGGTACACTTTAAATTTTGAGTTGTATGTGTGTGGTGTATACATGGATGTGCAAATATGCTCATCCAAGTGTGTACTTCTGTGCATATGCATATGGAGGCCAGAGGCTGACATCAGGTGTCTTCCTCTATAGTGCCCCACTGAATGTGGAGCTTGCTGTTTTGGCTAGACTGGCTGGCCACTGAGCCCTCTGGATCCACCTGACTCTACTCCTGGGGTTACAGATGTGTGCTACCCTGCCTGACTGTTGTTTGGGTTCTGGGAATTCCAACTCAGGTTCTCATTCTTGCTCAGCAAGCGGTTTTGCCACCAAGCCATCTCCCAAGTCCCTAAACTATGA